CATCTTCTGGAAGTGTTCTTTGAGTTATCTGATCTGATTTGGTATGAAACCACAGAACCAATCATTGGATATTGAAAGATGAATTTGCTCATAGTAGAAATAAGGAGACCCAATAGCATCTTCTGGAAGTGTTCTTGAGTTATCTGATCTGGTTTGGTATGAACCACAGAACCAGTTATTGAATTTGGAAGAGGAATGTGCTAATAGCATCTTCTGGAAGTGTTCTTTGAGTTCTCTGATTTGGTTTGATATAAAACCCAGAACCAATCATTGGAATTAAAAGATGAATTGCATGATCGTCTTCATTAAGAAGTTTCTTTTCAAGCTTCTTTTGCTTATTCCTTTCCTAAAAATCATAACCCAAGTTTCGCCTTTTCTTGTAATTGGGATCGTTGTATAATGGCTTCCCATCTTTTACCGGAAGAAATGTGTCAGTAATCTTAGCCATTTGAGCAGCACATATAAAATTTGTCAATTCTGCAATTGATGAATCTGAACCACATCTCTCCATGGCTATTGAAGCTTCAGCCTCTGAGAATCCCATTTTTGTCAAGTATAACAGTTTATTCTCCTCATCAGAATAAGAATTCAAGATTTCTCAGTATTAAAAGAACTATCGATATCTGTGAAATCATCTTGAAAGATCATTTCATAAACATATGAGTTGTTATCAGAATCAACATGTCGCATGAATGCAAGCTTTTCAAGAGCCTATACTATTGAGTTTTATTCTCAAGAGGTTTTACATACATTATATCTACATCTACATTTGTCAAAGATGGTAGATTCTCTGATCTGAAGAAGAAAGATCTATTGGGTTTTTACAATTGAAGAAATACACAATTCACCAATCTGAAATCAAATAACTTAACATTCATGCATCATATTTAGGTATTTGCAAAAATAGGTGCATTTTCATTCATTTTCATCCATGTTTAATTTTCATCTGAAGAATTTCAAAGATTTTAGCAAAGATTTAAATCCATCAATGGATCAGCAGTGTCAGTTCGAGTTCATAATGAGAAGAACTCATCTGAAGAAGGAAGAAGAAATTCATAATGAGAAGAATTTGTTCAACCTTTTGCTCAAATCCATCATTCGATGGATCAGCTTTTCCAGAGAAAGTTCATAATGAGAAGAACTCATCTGAAGAAGGAAGAAGAAATTCATAATGAGAAGAATTTGTTCAACCTTTTGCTCAAATCCATCATTCGATGGATCAGCTTTTCCAGAAAGAGTTCATAATGAGAAGAATTCATCTGAAGAAGGAAGAAGAAATTCATAATGAGAAGAATTTGTTTAACCTTTTGCTCAAATTCATCACTTGATGGATCAGTTTTTCCAGTTCGAGTTCATAATGAGAAGAACTCATCTGAAGAAGGAATAAGAAATTCATAATGAGAAGAATTTGTTCAACCTTTTGCTCAAATCCATCATTCGATGGATCAGCTTTTCCAGAAATAGTTCATAATGAGAAGAATTCATCTGAAGAAGGAAGAAGAAATTCATAATGAGAAGAATTTGTTTAACCTTTTGCTCAAATTCATCACTTAATGGATCAGTTTTTCCAGTTCGAGTTCATAATGAGAAGAATTCATCTGAAGAAGGAAGAAGAAGTTCATAATAAGAAGAACTTGTTCAACTTTTGCTTGAATTCATCATTTGATGGATTAGCTTTTCCAGTTAGAGTTCATAATGAGAAGAACTCATCTGAAGAAGGAAGAAGAAGTTCATAATAAGAAGAACTTGTTCAACTTTTGCTTGAATTTATCATTTGATGGATTAGCTTTTCCAGAAAGTTCATAATGAGAAGAACTCGTCTGAAGAAGAAGTTCATAATGAGAAGAACTTGTTTAACCCTTTGTTCAAATTCATCACTTAATAGATCAACCTTTACAGAGAAAGTTCATAATGAGAAGAACTCATCTGAAGAAGAGAAAGTTCATAATAAGAAGAGCTTATTCAACCTTTTAAATGACTCTATCACAGAAGGAAAGAGGTCAACATCATCCCCAGTGGAAAGTTCATAATAAGAAGAACTCATCTGAAGAAAGAGAAGAATTTATTCAACATCTCCATATTAATCAAGTGAAGTCAAATGAAAAAAACTTATTATCTTTTCGTCTTTTCTCTATTCTTATTAAGAATAAGCAAAGAGGGGCAGCTGAATATATTCATTTTTTCCATTTAAATGTTATTTATATAATAATAATTATTATTATTATTATAATTATTATTTAATATTACAAAACCCAAATGGAGGCCCAATTACAAATGGTGGCCCAAATCCAGAAGCCCGTAACAAACCCTAACAGATTAGGGTTTCCCTCTTCCCCAGCCGCCTGAGCTTGCTACCGTTGGATCTGGCAAGATCCAACGGTCCAGATGGTTCCAGCAGGAAACCCTAGGGTTATGATACCCTAGGGCCACGACGTCGGCCGCCTCTCTGACCCCTCCATCAACTGCTGCCACGCTTCAACAGAAACATCCAGAGGAAGCAAGGAACGCCATCCACGTTCCAACCATGGGGTGAGTCACCACCTACGGTTTGGTGACTCACCGAACTCCACCCTTCGGACCGGTCCGAGACGAGCACCGGTGATGGCTATAAAGCCATCACCCAACCTGCAAAGAAAGGACCACGACAACAGAACGGAAAATAAAACCCAACAGAAAAAAAGAAAAAAGAAACAATAAGGAAAGAAAAGAGCGATCAAACCAGCAACTCCAAACGTCAAAATAAGCAAAGAGAAGACGGAGAAATACTTACCGAGGAAGTTGCAGCATCACTGGAACCTTCACTCGTCGTCGGAAACCTTCGAAAAACGAAGGTATTTTCGTAGATTTGCTCCAATAGGGAATGTTTTAAGGGAAACGGTCATCGGAACCATCAATAGGATGGTCCGATCTACGTTTAGGTGTAAAAAAAAAAAATTCGGCCACCGGATGCGGTGGCCAGCGGTGTGGATTACGACGGCAGATGGCTGTCGGCCGACGACCGGCTTCCCTCAGCTAGAGAGAGGCGAGAAAATTCTTCTCTCTCAGTTAGAGAGAGAAGAGAAAGGAAAGAAATGAAGATGCTGGCCCTTCGGGCCAGCCGGTTGAAGGGATATATACCCCTTCCCAAACGACGCCGTTTAGGGGAGGGGTATATCCGTAATTTCCTTTTGGTTAAACCCTTTCCGCAGCCATCTTAATTTTGTAACATTCCATTTTAGTCACTAAATCAATTTATAATCCTTTTAATTCGGTTCTTTAATTTTAATTTTATTTATTTTAGTCCTTTGTATTAAAATAATATATTTAGGGTAAATAACAGATTTAATCCCTTAATTTTAATAATTAATATTTTAATCCCGAGTTTATATTTTTAATTTATTTTAATTTGATATTCAAATTTTAGATAAGTTTTATTTTAGTCACTAAATTAATAAAATAAGAAAATAGCATGTTTAATCCCTATAATTTTGATTAATTATGAATTAGGTTTTTAATTTTAATTTTACTATAATTTAGTCACTAATTTTAAATGTTTTCATTTATTTTACTGCTTTTAAATATATCGTTCTAATTGTATTTTTATTGTTTTAATTTTACTTGTTTATATATTTAAATATTTTTATTATTATTATGTAGTCATAAATATATATAATAAATAATAATTTATATTTTTTCAATAAATTATTTTAATATTTATTTTTCAATATCGAAGAAAATGGCAGTCTTAATACAACTGGATGTCCTATTCTGGTATTTTAAAATTAAATATTATAAAAAATTATTATTTAATTTTATGTAAATTAATATTTATTAATATCAAAGAAAAGAGCTGTCTTAAGGCACCTAGAAGTCCTTTTCCGATATTTTTAAATAAATAAATATTTTTTATATAATTTTGAAATAATAGGATTATAAATTAAATATATTTTGAATTTTTAAAATTTTAATAATAGAGACAATTTATAATTAAAAAAGTACCAATTTTGGGCGTTGTAGGGGTGCTAATCCTTCCCTAAACGTAACCGACCACGAATCCCTTTTTATTATTAAAAAGAACGAATTTTTGGTTATAAACGCAGATCAGTTCATTTTTTATTTGATGTTTTCTTAAAACTCTTTTAAAAAATAATTTTTAGGTATTCGACCTACCTGACCCAAAAGGCCGATGGCAACTCCTAAATTATTTTCAAAACCATTTATTCACATCAATTTTCCCGCCAAATAAATATTTCGTGCCCGGACGAAAACCGATTACGACAGTCCCTTTGACTCGTTCTCATATATCTTACGTCCACCTTCACGGACGTTTTGCCAAATGGCACTTGTCCTCCTTAACGACCGTCCGATTAAGTTTTTGGGGTGTCAAAATGGAACAAGTGGTAGACCGAATGCTTTGACATGACAACCTTAATTTCCCTTTGAACGTTATTACACCTTTCTTTTGATGTTCTGGTTTTTTCTTGGATTCTCACATGGATGACATTTTCTTTCGGTGTACCTAACAGAGAATTGCAAAAATGGAACAGTCAGTGGATCATGATTATGTAATCTAGTGGGCTCTTAATTTCCTCTTCCTTTGAATATTGATTAGTTTTACTCATTCTTTTGCTCTCTCGTTGCTCTTTTACCCACCTTTTTTTTTTGCAGTAAAATAGGAACATTTGCTGACCTACTCATCCAAAAATAATGCTTGCATAAAAATATGATAAAAAAACCCAGCAAGGAAACAAGAACCAAGTAACACTCTTCTTCGCATTAACGGATTTAAAAATATTTCAGATCCATAAATATTTTTAAGGGTATATATATATATATATATATTGACAAAATTTTCCTATATGGTTGACACATACACCAATCAGCAATAATGCCCGACACATACATCAATCAGCAATAACGCCAAAAGGTTCATTGTACCAAGAAAATACACTCATGCGGCCAAGTATTAGCCAACTGCGTCAATAACAAAAAAAATTACATTATTAGTATTATTTCCCACTATGAGTAAAATTCTAATAATACAAGCAATCATTTAAAGTATGTATAAACCTGATGGACTCATCCTACATGTCGCAAACCTTGCAAATATATGTACATGGAACTGGGCATCTCCCGTTAATATTCACCTTTACCGGCAAATAATATGTATATTGCTGCTGCCAAAAACTCATGAATGCATGTCTTTCACAATTTCCTCAACCAGGTCTCTGATAATGTGGCATGCCACCTCTCTTCCCAAAACTTTAGTTTCATTGTCTATCAAGCCAGACCAAGGGGTTGAACGTAAATCCCGGGCCACTATGCTATCGAGCGAGTAGTGGCAGCTATCGTTCAGAGGATATAAATTGGTTTGGATAATTTCCCACACGGAATTCAGCAACTTCCTTCCTCGTGGAGGTGACAATATGGAGGAACTGAGAAGCTTTCTACTGAACTGAGTCATGGCAACCGGTTGCCCTAGTATTGTTGTGAGTGCTTCATTCAACAAATCGAGTAACACCTTTCGATCTACCTTCTCGTTCTCGTTGTTTCTAGAGCTGTCGTTCTCCTTGCCTGATATTCTATATGATTCTTCCACTTGTTCAAAGACAGAGTCATCGATAGGCTTCGCTAATGCGTCCCACCTAGATAAAGATTTGTCACATGATCCATCAAACAAACCAGAAGCAACAAGCAGGTCTCTGACATAGCCTTCTCCTTGGTCCTCTAGATCTCCCATTTCAGATTCACCAGAGTCATGTTTGACTGATATGTCGTCCGCCTCGTCAGACTCAAGTTCACTAAGTTGCCACCTCAGCTCTGGTAATCGATAAATAAAAAAATATTTTCATAAATTGCATTGATATCAACACAATTGTTCACCATGTGGACAGTAGCCATATTGGACTGGAATGATGCTATACACCTAAATATATGTCAGATTCATTGAGAGTAATATAGTCGTGTGGTCAAGGAATAGAAAAAGGAATCCTTTTGTAATTTTTCATAGGACATAGTTTACAATTCATGCTGCTTTATGTATTAAAGGGAAATCTCCGTACCATTCAAATTAGAACTGATCTCTTTGAAAACCAGTGGTACCACATTTTCTTCTCCAAAATTCACATCAGGTGTTGATATAGGGGTGAGATAATCTACTTGCCCCCAAAATTCTTCATTTGTGCTGCTGCAAACCGATGCCGGGCTGGGAGGCACCTCCGTTGAATTCTCCTAATACAATAAAGTTATATTAATTACAAAACAAAATGAGAAGTGTATCAAACTGACCTCTTACTTTATAAACAAGAAACTGGATGCATGCCCTTACATGCCTCTCACTGAAGTTTATAACTGTTGGTCCACTTAAGATGTCCTTTGCTGGACCATCATGTGCACCATATGTTTCCACCATTGACTGAATCTTCCTTCCAAATAGCCTCCGTCGAAGTGTCAAACCATACTTGATATTAGAAACTTTCTCTTTCAAATTGAACCTTTCTTTCTTCCTTTTTCCAACATCAACTGGAACATTCTCGATGCCTTCATGCTTCCTCCTGATCTCAGCACCGGTTATAATATGGCGGTCCTCTAAAAGCAGCTTTCCAAATGATGTTCCCGAGACGGGGGCTGACAATGACCTAACCAGATTTCTTGAGGACGGTTCCCTATTTAGCAGTTCAACATCATCTCCATGCCTGAAAGATCTGGTTTGCATTTCTTGTTCATCTTTAACAATTTTGCAGTAGCTCTGCCCATTTCTGGACTTTGGCATATCTTGTATTTGCTTTAGCCTGTCCCTTCCATTATCGTACATGGATGCTCTAGAGCTGCCGATGGAAACTACTGGTATATCCAACACTGTTTCTTGTTTTTGAACATTCTTTAGTCTCTCTGAAAAGAATCTTCTTGTATCTTTGTTGATGAACTCAGGGGAGTCTGGTCCATTGAACTGAACTGAACTTCTATACGATTTGGTTGATTCCGATCGAACTAAGTTCATTTCAAGATCCCTACTGACGTTTTCCCTGCCATGTTTTGCAATGTGCTTAGCAATTTGCCCTGGATCGGATGGCTTTTCACTGAAAGGGGTCTTCATTTCACTTCCTCTAACCAAAGAACTCTTTATAAGAGTTTTACCTTGCAGTTCCAGTTTTAGTCGTTCCTTTACCTCCTCCAGGAAATCTTCTATACTAGCTCTCTCATCAAAAGTGTCAGAGGAACCAGTCCATGATTCTTCGTGGTCGTAAATTCTAAGAGGACGAGGCTTTAAGATCACTATTCTTGTGGGGGCAACATCAACTTTCTCATTATAACATATCATAGAAGGTAGATGAATATCCCTACTTGTGTATCGTCTTCGTGATTCTTTTTGATCGGGTATAAAGTCAGCTGATTTATGTCTGTGATGATGCAAACGCATTTTGTGCAAAGTTTCATTAACTGCAAAGCTCTTAGATTCCAAAGGCTTCTCATGCTTTGTTCTTTCAGAATCTACATAAAGTGACATTTTTTCCTTGCTAAGTTTCTCTTGAGAAAAAGAAATGCTTCCAACACCAGCAACTTTTGAATATTCCCTAAGCCTGGAAGCTTGCCATGCCTGAAATTCTTTCTTAAACTTCTGCAATTCTTCCTCTTGAGGATGTTCACGAGACCTAGGCTTCCCATACTTCTGGCTGGTGCCCCACCTCTCTGCATCTCTGTCTTGACTACCATAAGCCGAGTCAACATCCATTTTCTTCAAGTAAGTTGAGTCAGAAGCCAAATGCACATCTGAGCCCTTTGCACTCTTTTCCTTCTTACAAAACTTTTGCTGGTTATCATTCTTTTTCTTAACGGATTGAAGTATGACGGGTTTCGTATTTGATGGCAATGAATCCATCCCCATAAGTCGTGCGACAATACTAGGTGTGTTTTGTCTGCTGTTAGATTGTCTGGACATCTCATCGTTTATTAGTTTCTTCATTGAAGCCTCAGTTTGACAATAGTATTTTGCTGCCCAATCTTCTTCAACTTGATGAGAATGCTGAAAATTCACATGAAATGCATTTAGAAGCCTAAGAAATATTTAGATGATAATTTTATTTTCAGTTCGAGTTAAAACTCATTATAGAATCAGTTTGGCCCCAACTAAGACGGGAGATTAATTAAGGATGATCAAAGATGCAAGTGTTTCATTGAGATGATAAAAGATTTTAACCAAGACAAAGAATAGAATACTGGAAAAGAAAGAAAACCGAACTCGAATTAAAACTTCTTCACAATCATTCCTAAGACTACCCAGTTAGACACAAAGAGCATAATCTAAGATGTTTAATTTTTTTTCATGCATCTTATATCTAATGACAAGGAATTTGATTGGAAAAATTACTGGCAGATCATCTATGGCGCAGTAGGTCTGAGAAGTTTCTAGTTGCATCTCCAAGCTATTGCATTGAGCATCCAAAACTGCAGAGAGACAAAATCAACTGCATTAGTGAATCGCACCGTGGAAATGAACGTTATCATGGTATTCTCCATTTGAGGAGGAATTGACATTCTTGTTACATATCCTCTCACCAATTAAGAAGATGATAATATACAATAAATGACCTCGCAATCCTTAAAACTTAGTATATTATCTCAACCACGAAGAATAACACTTTTCTGGTAAAAATCACATGAGTTTGTTCTTGCATTACTTCCTTGAGATGACTTTGAACCAGAAATAGCACTTCAGGAAATCTCTAGTCAAGTGCTAAGAAACAAACTCAACTTTTGCCTAACAACATCGTTACTGTGAGAATCAGTCAAGGTATTACAAAATAATCTTACAGCTTGACTTTGAAATCTGTAAAATCGGAATGGGAGTAATCACAAAAAACATATCTAGTTCTGAACCCAAAGTGTTATACTATAGAACTTTTCCCATGAATAGAGAAACAAGGATATTTACCGCCAACGTGTCTCTTGTGTGCAAGTATTTTTCTGGCCATGTTGCCTTGGTTGAATTCGAAAAAGTGAAATAAGCCTCCCATGGAGTCAGTTGATCTACCAAATCATTTCATTTACAAACAATGTACTTATCACCCCAAAAATCAGTCTTCTCCTACATTGAAGAACATCAGGCGCTTCGATAATGTCCTGTAAAGCCACAAAGCAATTCATTGTCAACGATCAATGAAGACATTGATTATTCTACCTTCAAATGTGGCTAAACAAAAAGCATATATTTACAAGAAGAATCGACCCAAGTCATAGCACTGTTTTGTTAATTGATATGCAGAGATTTCACTGAATCTAGTCCTCCATTTTGATCAAATTCTCATAAGACTTTAGTATCTAGACATCTTCGTAAGAAAGGATAATATACAGCAATTTTGCAGAACAAATGACATAAGGACTGGCAAGAAAATAAAGCTGCATCTCGTAAGAGAAGGACAATTTCATTTTTATGATGATCTAAGCAAAAGTTCTGTCTAAATTTAAAAGAGGAATTCATTTTTTTTTCTTTTCTTTTTCAAGTTTGCAAAATGTTTTTTAAGACCCCTAGAAAGCCAAAACTGGAACTTGCTTCTCAGTTCATTCCCCATGAAACCCTAAATAATTCAAAGGTTCCAATTTTGTAGTGTTTCCTTCTGGGGGTATTCCATCTAACGTGAGAAGCATATGAAACGAAACAAACAGAGCTACAGAAAAACGTAACCTTTTGCTTTTCAGAGAGAAGCAAGTAATATGAGATAGCGAGCAGGAGCCATTGCTGAATGCTAAGGAAGAAGTGCAGAAAAATGAAGGGACATAAAATGGAAATGGTGTCGATTCGAAGATGGAGATGGCAAATTGGCAATGAACAGGAAGCTACACCGACAGAAAGCTGAATAAACGTTGGAGATGAAGGCTAAGGTTTGAACGATGATAGATGCATAGCACAGGCGAGAGGGAAACTATTACTTGTGACTGTTTTAATATACTATTGATAAAATATGGTACTGATTTTATTATTATTTTTTAAAAGATTAAAATTTTTTATCGAAAATATTATTATTTTTATTTAAAATATTAATATTTTTTAATATTTTTGATAAATTACTTAATAATAATAAAATCAGTAAAAAAATAATAAAACATGTAACACTTTATTAGATATGTTAACAAAACTAGTAAAACAATCAATAACAACAAAATCGATAAATGTCCAATAATAATAAAATCGATAGAAAAATAATAAAATCGGTTGCGTTTTATCGGAAATATTAACAAAATCGATAAAGTATCTAATAATAACAAAATTAATAATAATAATAATATTTTAAATAATTTTTATCGATTTTATTAAAAATAATACGGTGCATCTTCCCGAGACGCAAGAGGCGAAGACTTCATAATCGTAAAAACAGAAAAGGTAATGACGATGATACAAGAAAAGTCATGGCAACTCTTTATCGTTATTATTACTTAATAAATAAATAAAAGGCGGCATTTATGCATTATTTATCACAAATCACTTGGTAAATTATAATTTTTCATAATTAATTTTGACATATATGTATAATGTGGTTTTTTTTACAATTAGATTTTTATCGTTGTTATAAGATATTCAACTTTTTTTTTAATTATTATAATTAGATATTTATTGTACAAATTAAGTTATCTAAGTGATTAAAGAGATAATTGTTATCCTTAAATATCGTGCATGCACAACATATATCATAAGTGTTTGAGTGATTATTGTTAAATAAGTTGAAAGTATTTCAAATAGATATTACTTTATAACTACTTTTAGATTAATAAAAAAATAGATATTTAATATTTTTATGATACAATTAGATATTTAAATTTTTATTTTATGATATAATAAGATATTAGTATTTTTTTTGAAAGATAACATATTTCATAGTCATTGAACTTTTATTTATGTATCAATTTGCACGGACTAACTTATTTCAGTGGTTAAACAAATCGTTGTTATCCATTATCAAATGGTTCGAGCATCAACAATTGCAACATGATGATTCATCATTCATTGTTAAATAATTGAGAGAATTTAGAGTAAATACTACCTTATAATCACATTAGTCTATTTAAAAAAAAATATGCATCAATTGTGTTTATTTAAAAAGTTATAATTTATCACTAAATTTTTTATTTTGAGTTTTGATATTTAGTTATTAAATCATTAACGAGGTGATGTCATGATCAATTTATATTTTTTATTTATAGAAAATCATTAAATTTTATTTTATAGAAATAACTAATTTTTTCGATAAGTAAGGAAGTAGAGTGGATAAAAACTAACCAATATAATCTAAATTACATTCTTCTGCCTTCAGCAAGTCTTTGGCGTCTTATGTAGCTGACGTGAATGTCAGGAGGTAACGAGTTTTAATTAAAATAAAAAAAAAATCTCCGATTACAATAAATTTTTTTAATCAAAACTATAAATTAAGCATGTAATTAAAAAATATATATAATCATTAAAATAAAACTAGCAACTAAAAATCACATAAAGATCATAAAAATTCGAACAAAGATAGATACAAATAGATACGTATCTACAAACAAACCACAAAAAGATATCAAACTAATGAAAAGTCACCGATAAATCACAAATCAGACTCGAGAGATGTGAAAAACTATCCACGAACGAAAATCGAGTATCTAAATCCAATCAAAGGATCCAAAGCAGAGAAGATCAACAAGATATAAGTAAGTGTCATATTGATCAGTCGTGACGATATCAAATCAACCCTTAGAAAAAACATAAATGAAAAAAGAGCCAAAGAACAAAAAAATATCAAAAAAACATAAGAAAATATGTCATAAAGATAGATGAAAATATACAACACAGGTAAACTTATTGAAAATCAAAAGACAAAATAAAATAAAGATATGATATAGAGAAGAAAAAGACAATAAAGAATACCGACAACCGACAATCAATATTAAAGTTGATACCGTCTTCGATCAACAAAGATGAAAAAGAAAAAAGATGAGTGAAACCCAATAAAAAAAAATAAGTTTTTTTATTATAGATTATCTCTCTCTATTTTTAGAAAATCATTAACTTATATATAAAGTTAAAAGGAAAATGGATTTGTTTGAGTCAATTTTAACCCCTCTAATCTGAGGTAGATGAGATCTACTGTGACATATATAATTAATGATTAACATGCAAATATAATGAGTAAACTTGAAACCCATCTCCCTAGCAGCCCATAAACACCATACAACCTTCACTTGCTTTATGCTTTGTATTTTGACCTTAGCTAATTAATACAACGTGCTTTACTCAATCAATGTTTGTCTATATTATTTTAAAAAATAATTTAGATTTTTCTTAAAGAATAACAAGAAAAACTTATAATTAAACTTCCTCACTTCACCAATGTAAGCTAACACAATAAAAAATTGATTGTTTAATTAATTCATGATTATAATTTTATGTCAATAATAGTAAAATAATTATTTATTTCGAGTCAAATCCAATTTTACGAATGAGTAGATTTTGTGGGGCAGTTCTATAGTGCGGCACCATAGTATACGGTTAAAATAAGACGTTACCGGTTTTGTTATTATTTTAAATAACAAAACCGGTAAAAATGATCGAAAACATCATTATTTTGACCGGTTTTAATTACCTATATAGGTAAACGCAGTAGAAAAAAACCGGTCAAAAAATAATGTTTTCGGTAAAGCACTACCTAAACTATTATTTTTGACCATTTTTTCTACCGCATTTACTTATATAGGTAATTAGAACCGGTCAAAATAATGATATTTTCGATCATTTTTTTACTGGTTTTGTTATTTAAAATAATAACAAAATCAGTAATATTTTATTTTAACCGTATACTAAGACGCCGCAAGTGAATGTTTTCCAGATTCTGTGGTTTGGGAATTGATAGCTACAGGCACTGCTTGCAATATATTGTGCTATTATATAGTTTTAAGAATTATATATAGTGCCCACATGAATGTGTACCAATCTTTCGGCTAAACAAAATCATACAATTCCCTTTTATTCCTACTTTGCATCTGCATATGCTATAATATGGTACCAAAAAGTTGTCAGCACATTTTGTGTCATAATTAATCAACCTGATGACTAAAACCAGATATTCTAGATTAAAAATAAAATAAAAATGTTTGAATTAAATAAATAAGAAAACATGTAATTATCAGAATCAGACCAATAATATAAAACTAAATTTTGTGCGATTGTTGTAAATGATTAAAAATAGAAATTAGAATGAAATCAATAGTTTAATTAATTCAATAAAAAATTAAATTTATTTCTTTAAATTATTTTTAAGCAGAAAAATTAATTTGATAAATTCAACCGTGGAATTAAATTCTTATGGGGGGTTTATTTGATAATGATGGAAAAGCATCCATAGAAAGGAGGAAAAGGCATAAGCCTTACGACTGAAGACGATGATAGGATGAAGTTGTGACAACAAAAAAGGCAAAGTCCTTGGCTAATGATGGAGAGAGCGTGTGGCATGTGCATGAATTTGAAAACCCAAGAGCATAATTTAATGAGGCTGGAATGGTACCATGTCTCCCTTTCTATATTAATGTAGGGTTTTATGAGACTGAACAAGTTTGGGGTCGGGGACCAAATGAATTGTTTAATGGGTAAAATATACCGTTAGTCATTAATGTTTGAGTAAATTTTTGTTTTTCCCACTGAAGTTTCAAAAGTTATAAATCGGTCACTAACATTATCGATTGGTCACAAAATGGTCACTTACCGTTAACTGCCATTAACAGGCGTGACGAAAAACATAGCTGGCACGTTAACTGCTTACATGGACTCGATTGACTCAGTTGATCGCCACGCTAGAGACCCAAATATCTCCAACAGTAACCTCAAAAACCTAATTCTTAAAGTAAAAAATTTGGGGGTTTTTTTCGTTCATATATCTTTTTCCTCTATTCGGTTGTATATCTTCTAATTTCTTTCTAGAAAGCCTTATTCACAAGATCAAATGATATACTAGTTGTATCTTCGTTCATTTATAAATTGCAATAATAATAGAGAGAGTTAAGAAGATATGACGATAATAAGAAGAGTTTGAAGAAAGACCCAAATGAGAAAGATGAAGAAGATCAGGTAGCGAAAGAATGTTGTTTTATGTGAAAGGGAAGGAGTGTATTTGAAGCATGTGTGTTTTGGTTCATCAAGGAAAGCAAAGAACATAACCTATAAGGAAAGATGTTGCTCAACCAAAGTCCATGGTAGAGCATTGTTTTATGTGGGTAAACCCAGAGAAGTGAAAATGACTGATCTTTGAGACTTTGTAACAACACCATTGACTACCAGAACTCTCAAGAAAATGATCAAATCCCATAGGAAAAAAAAAGACAAACCATAATTAATTCGATAATATAGAATAAAGTCAAAGATTAATACATGTAAATCAAAAAATTTTAAAAGATGAGTGAGAAATTGAACAAAGCAACAAGCAAAAAAAGTTTCATGAAATGAAACAAATAAAGAGATGACTATATCAAACAAAAAGAAACACCCAAATTTAAAACTTATTGTAGAACAAATCCCATGAAGGAAATCTAGTATTTAAGCCCATAGACTAGATTCTCCTTCTTGTTAACCTTAGCTGGGCATCCATAATTGCAAAGCAAAACATCTATGGAGTTTTTCATCTTTACGAGATTGGGTTTAGGGATTTATCTTACAATTTTTAGACAAAATTTTAAAGATGAATAAAAAAGCCTAAATTTTAATTTTAGTGATTGGGTTTTTATTTAAGAAGAAGAGGAGGCGACTGTTAGAGATATTTGGGTCTCCAGTGTGGCGATTAACCTAGACAATCGAGTCCATGTAAGCAGTTAACGCGCCAACTATGTTTTTCGTCACGCCTGTTAACGGCGATTAATGGAGAGTGACTATTTTG